CATGTATTTGGCCTCTTTGCCTCCTTTCTAGAGCCAAGAAATTCTTGAATCTAGAAATCTCGGCATTTCTCTGAGCTTAAATACACAGCGTGTGTGGGTGGCACATCATGAGAGCCACAGGACTCAGTGTGAGCTCCTGCATGAGGCATGCTGACCTCCTGCAAAAGGGCAGAGCCATGGCTCGAGGCCTCTGTCTGGTACAGAAACAGAAACCCTCGCACACTGAGCACAGGTGCACAGCGGGGAGCATCCTTGCATGTTGTGCAGCCTGAGTTTGGGGAAGCATTTGGCTTTGAAGTGGCGTTAAGCCTATGCATAGCAGCCTCAGGTCGGTGGGCCAAGCGACCCGATGCAGTGAGAGTTGGCATGTGGTTCACACAGGGCTCTTCCCCAAAGCTTTCTAGAACGTGGACGGGAGGAGAGGGAAGAAGAGAAACCTATTCTGATACATCTTTACTTAATCGAGGAGAGACAGATCTAATTCTGTGTTTTCAGAGAAATGAAAGAACTTTACCAGCCCTTAAATTTCTTGGGGCTGAGATCCTAAGGATGTAAATTTGAATTTTTAAGAGGTGTACAAATAGTCTAGAATTTTCTGCATCGTTTTCATGCATGATCGCACTTACTAATTTCGGCTTCATCAATAAATGTGATGTCTGTTGTTCCAGATTTTGATCAGCCCACGTTTATTCCCTACATAGTGACAGGCTCATCAAAGGTCGTGTGCAGAGATAGGATGGCCAGTTACCATCCCCTGTGAGTCTCAGTTGCAGCTCTCGGAGCACTGGCTGCCAGTGCACCCCAGCATTGCAGGTGGTGGGCATAGCGGGGTTGGCTGGCTGGCTTCTATCCTTGGGATGCTTGTCTGGTGGTTTACAGACTATGTTAGCTGTTGCCTTCTGAAAATCACGTCGTGAGTGGAGTCTGTTGTCTTCTCTACAAAACAAAAGTGGAGACACTTAGGAAATATTAGAATATCTAAAAGGCAGGCTGTGACCCATGGGCTTTGTTTCTGATGCTGTTCAGAAAAATGGTATATTTAGCACCAAAACTAACACCTGCTTTAAAACAGA